TACACGCCCGGTATTTTATTTCTTTGAGACAGGTCTGTATGTTCCAGGCTGGCCTTGAATTCAGTGTATAGCTCAGGACAGCCTTAAACTCACGGCGATCCTCCTGCCTCAGACTCCTGAGTGTGGGGATTATAGGTGTGCAAACCACGTCTGGCTTTCAGTTTTAAGCTAGGGCTTTGCTCAGTTGCCAGTGCTTCACACTTTCGATCCTCCTGCTTCAGCCACCCAAATAGCAGGGATTACGGGCATAAGCTACAGTGCGTGCTTCCAAGCCTGTATTCTTAGGCTTTTAGAATCATAATTCCAAGTTACATTTCCGCCAGTTTATGGTACAGCACATCATTCTAGGGACAGTGCTGTTGGTATCTTTGTTTTGGTGGGGGGTTGAGACAGGGTCTTGCTATGTTATGTAGTTCAGGCTGGCCTTGAACTTGCTGTGTAGCCCAGTCTGGCCCTGTGGTGGCAGTTCTCCTGCCTCAGCCTCCTGAGTGCTGGGGTCACAAGTGTGCACTTTCCTGCCTGGCTGGTCACTGCTTGTTTTGTTTTTTTTGCTGTGCCGCTTGATTGGCATTACTTCACCATTGATTCTTCCAGGTGCTTCATTCAGTGTAACTTGCTTTGGTTAGGAGTTTGGACAAGGGGTAGAAGTCTCCGGTCGTTGTTTGAATGAGGGACCGTGCGCTGGGAGCAGTAACAGCAGGAAGGGTGGCAGTGGGTGGGATCTCGTGACACGGCACCTTTGGCTTGTTAAGAGGAAAAGCAGCCATGCCCAGAAAATCTGGCTTTAGAGGAAGACAAGGCTTGCTTTCTGTGCCTCTCCTGACCTCAGGAGTTACTCGGTGGCCCTTTTCTAGTGAGCGAACCAAGTCCATTTGAGAACCCGAGTGACAGGCCTGGAAAGAGTTGGGCAGGACTCACAGGGCTTTCCTGCCCTACCTACCCAAGGCAGTCCATGGTTCGCAGGTTCTTCTCATGCTGTGCGCCCTGGAGAGGAGGCACCTGCTTCGCACTGTTAGCTCTGTCGGCTGAATTCAGCCTGGGGCTTTTGTTCTCCTCTCTGTGGTTTCCTTTCCCCTCCTTTTCTCTCTTCTCCCTCATGTATATGTAGGAATGGATAATTCTGCAGCCTAAAGAAAGGTGGGAGCCTCTTCCTGTCCTGTTATGGTGAAGAGAGCTTCCTGAGGTTGTTGGGCCCAGGGCCTGGCCTGGTATATCTTCCTCCCCTTTTATTTCGACTGAGTGGGTAGTCTATAGGCTTTGGAATAGCGTGGCTCTAGGTTTAAATTCGTAATTTGTAGCTAGGCTTAGTGGTGCATATCTGTAATCCCAGCACTGTGGGGAGCTGAGGCAGGAGGGTCCCAAGTTTGAGCTCAACCTGGGCAGTTTAACAACTTAGCAAGACCCTGTCTCAAAAAAAAAAAAAAAAAAAATGGAGAGGGAGGGGAGAAGGAATGTAAAAAGAATTAAGATGTGTTATATGCCAACTGCCCATGCACTCAGTACATACTGTGAACATATACTAATTAAAGTAAAATTTTAAAAAAACAGAGATGTAGCTCAGGGAAGGTGTGGGTTAAATCCCCAGTACGGTAAAAGAATTACTATGAAGTGCAGTCCCTGGGGTAGTTTCTTCACCTCTGGGTTTTTCTCCTTGTAATAATCTTGGGCCCTTCTCCTTGTGGAGAGGGTACCTGCAGTGCTTGTGAGCTCTTCTCAGCCCCTTTGTCCTTGGTCCTCACAGTGGGGAGCCTGGGGCCGGGCCCAGGTTCACGGTGGTCTGCTGCCTGTGGACACTAGAGCAGCACCCTTTGCCCCAGAAACACAGGTGCAGGTGGGACGCGCTGGAAAACAGTGCCGGCCGTGCAGGCGAAAACCTGCTGGGCTGCTCCCCGGGAACCCACTGAGGTTCTCGGTGTAGGTAATTTCATCTCCTACTTCACCAAATAGTTGGAGGCTGAGGCATCACCGTGAAGTAATATAATTGGGAGATAGAAACCAACTCTTGAAACAACTGACGACCTCACCTTTGTGTAGCTCCCGTCTTCCTGGCAGCCCCAGGTTAGATGGGGCTGGTGATACCAGCCTTCCTGCTGCTGCTCTAGTGCTGCTGCTCTCAGCCTTGCTCGCGGCCTGCCCCGGGGCTCTTCTGACCACCGCTCCTCTGCCTACCCTGCTCTGCCTACCCGGCTCCTCTCTGCCTGCTGGGCCGTAGTCTGCTCCAGCGAGGGCCAGGCCGCCACAGTGAGGGGGATGCAGCTCCCGACCCCGAGCAGAGCCCGGGAATTTTCCTTCCTTCCTTCCCAGTCCCTCTACTGAATTAGAGTTGTGGGGCCAGAAGTGGTCACTTAGGGCAGGGCGCCGCCAGGAGTGCTGTCGCCGTGCGTCCGTGGCGGTGGCCGCCTGTGCTTTGATCAGCAAGGAAGATTATAGGGTGGAGCTGCGGGTGGTGCGGCCCTGCTCCCGCGCAGGCTCACAGTCTCTGAGTCTCGGTGTGGGGAGCTTCACAGGTCATGGGACGTCGTGGGTAAGGGCAAGTGCTCACCACGAGGAAGTGGCGATGGAGGGCAGCGTTAGGAAAATAGAGTGTTTGTACAGAAAGACCTAGGGCAGAGAGGCCTGGTGGAATGAAGGGTGGGAGAGGGAGAATTGGTGGTGGACCTTGGACTGAAAGGACAGGGTTTGGTCAGTGGTTGTTGGGGCCCAGCGCTGGGCAGGGGATGCAGGGGAGAGCCGTGGTTAGGGACCGGGCTCCTGCGGAGCCCCTGGGGCCCTGCTCACCCAGCTTGGACACCTGCTGCTGCTGCTGAGTGCTGCAGTTGGGAGGCAGACAGGCCTGGGCCTCTGCTTGGTGGGGCCCTGCGGAGCGTGGGAACGTGGGAGCGGAACCTGAGCGCAGGCCCGGCCGAGGCCTGTCCTCACTTGTCCCCGCTGTGCATCGCGCAGCCCGTCTGTTTCCCAGGTCTCTTGGGGCATGCCAGGACTGGGCCTTGGAGCCTTCTGCCTGGGGGTGGGGAGGGGAGGAAGGGCTTTCCCGCCTCGATTTCCCCGTGTGGGGAGCTGAGCCTGGTGGGTTGCGGTCCACATGGTAATCTGTCCCTGCTTCTGTTTGGCAGTGCAAGTAGAGCACTGTGCCTGCACGTTGGGCCCCGTGCTGGGGCCGGGAGCTGCAGCCGCGGCCCGGGGCGTCCAGCGTGGCAAAGCGAGGGGCGCTCGTCACCGGCAGCGAGCCCGCGCCTGCGCTCCGTCACTCCTCTCATTCCTGACTCCTCCTTTGCGCTCTTGGGTTCATGCCTTGGGTTTATTTGATTTTCGTCTCATTCTCATTTTCCCTCCAAATGTCTGCAGCTCTCTCCTCTGCTTCCTCTTTGCTGTGGTGCTGGGATGCTTCTTCCATGATTTTTCTGAGTCTAGAGTGGGCTGTTCTCTGTGTTAGACCAATCCGTTAGGATCTTCTCTTACCAGGTGTGTATGGAAATTTATTTACTAAGAATGGAAGTACTTCAGGTGTTTTTTAAGGGTTTGATGAGAGGGTGGGGAGTAGGTTCCCCAGCCTGCCTTTCACCAGTGTGTATTTTGCCCTGGCTGCAGCGTGTCCCATAGCTTACAAGGGAGGAATCGCAGAGTCCAGCAGTGTGACTCCAGGGCGTCTGCGTTGCCCGCTCACTCCAGCGGGTGTGCGTAATGACTGCCGTTGGTTACACGAATGCACACATGCACCCTCCAGATGCTTGCACAGGTACCGGGTTGGAAGAGTAGAGAGGGGCGAGGACTCTGCTCAGGTTTTCTGCCGGAAGTTCCGGCTGTCAGGGGTCAGGAGATGAACTACTTGAAGGTGCTGTTGTGGCGTTTGAGCCTGCTGCTCTTTCTCCTGCTCCCCAAAGAGGCGGAGGTCTGTGGCGATAGCACCTTTCTACACAGAGCGTTGCCATTTCTGTTGGCTCAGTTATGGCACGCATTTGCCCTCAATATTGTGTAGTTTGAAAGGCAGAACCTTTTCATGAATGTATTAAACAAAGAGACCTTAATTTTGTCTTCAGCCTTTGATGGTAGGAAGTTCTAAAATATTTCTGATTTTTTTGGTACTGGGGATGAGCCAAAGGCGCTCTAACACTGAGCTGCACGCCCAGCTCATCAGTGTTTTTTATTTTGGGACAAGGTTTCACCAAATTGCAGAGACCAAACTTGAGCGTGAGATCCTCCTTTCTCAGCTCCTGAGTAGCTGGGATTAATATTTGTGTACCACCATGCCTAGCTAATATTCTCCACTCATTCATTCATTCATTCATTACTGGGGATTAAGCCGAGAGTCTTTGCACTGAGCTACCTCCCCAGCCCTTCTTCTGTTTTTAATTTTTTTTTTTTTTATTGTGAGACGGGTTCTCCTTAAATTGCTAAACTGCCTGGGCTGAGCTCAAACTAGTAATTCTCCTGCCTCAGCTTCCTAGAGCACTGGGATTCCAGGCATGTGCCATCATGCCTGGCTTAGTGTTTCCATTTCTTACTTGGCCTTTTAACTTAGTATATTCTGCCACTACTGCAGCAGTCTGATTGTCCAGAGGGGGAGAAGTGAAGGAGAGTCTGCCCCATGGACTGTAGGGTGGCCCGGCCCCAGCACCGTGAGTCTTGTCTGGACCTTGGAGCTAAGGTTCGCATGACGTAGATAACAGCACGTTCTGCAGGGAAGGAGAACCGAGTTTGAGTCCTCCGCGATGGCTGTGGCACCCAGTGCGTTCCCCCTCCCTGTCCCGCCCCGCGGCAGTGCAGGCCTGGGATCCCGTCACGCTTGGCCTGTCCACCGTGTCTCTGGCGGGCTGCCGACAGGTGGCAGGCGGGTGCTGTTAGTGTGAGTGTGCTCACTGGTGGTGGGCTCCGGCTCGGTGGTGGCTTGCCTTCCGCACTGCAGGGACTGCTCGCGGGCGGCTTTGGCTCTGGGGTTGGTGATGCACCTGTCTTCTCTGACCTGTGCTCTTTTCTCTCCTCTCCCTGCCCTTCCCCGATAGTGTGAAGTGAGGGGGGCCTTCTCCCTCCTCCCCTTCCTCTGAGCCACCTTCCTCTTTCCCTGTCCTGCGGCGGCTCCGCCCCGTACCTTCATGGACGACTCAGAGGTGGAGTCGACCGCCAGCATCTTGGCCTCTGTGAAGGAGCAGGAGGCCCAGTTTGAGAAGCTGACCCGGGCGCTGGAGGAGGAGCGGCGCCACGTCTCGGCGCAGCTGGAGCGCGTCCGGGTCTCGCCCCAGGATGCCAACCCTCTCCTGGCCAACGGTACCCTCACCCGCCGGCATCAGGTAACCCCTCCAGCAGAACCCTGAGAGGCTGCGACCTTTCTGGGGGTCCCTCCTCGTGGTTGTCACGCGGCCAACTCCTCCAGAGGATGGTGCTTCTGTGGAGGCACTGCGGCGGTGCCGAATGGATGGCTTTCTCTGTAGCGTCCATTGGACTTGGGTGGCTGGAGTGGGAAGCGGCTCCGATAGTGGTAGATAGTGTAGTGTGGGGCCGACTCAGGTTGCTTTTCTTCCTTCCTAGTGCCAGAAATTCGGGAGCTAAACACCCACCTGTGATCGGGAAGGGTGAGCATCCTGTCCCGAGCCCCAGCTCAGTCTCCTGGGGAAAGTGTTCTCGGAGGGGTGAGGTGTTCCCACCCCACTTTGTCCTCGCGTCCCCTCTGTCCCTTTGTGTTGGCTGTGCTCCCCCTGTGTTGGAGGAAGGGGCATCCCCCTGGCTAGAGCTCGCGCGCAGCGACGCTCGACTGCAGCCTGATGCCCACAGGGGTCTGCGGTCTCCGGGGAGAGTCAGTGTTAGGAAGGAGAAGTAGCTTGTTTCCTATGGTTTATCTCGCCCGACCTTGCTGTGATGTAATCTGTCTGAGGTTTTGTGTGTGTGCCTGTGTGTGTGTGTGTGTGTGTGTGTGCGCGCTCGCGCGCGCACGCATGTGTGTTAGGTATTTGATAGACAATATCTTAAGTGATCTCTGGATCTGAAGCAGAACAGTGCTTGTACTTTTTGCTGTTGGCTTTGTATGTTACTAGGGATTGAACCAGGTCCTTTGCAGTGAGCTTCATTTCCAGCGCTTTTTGTTTTTGTTGTTTCTTGTGTTTTTGAGACAGGGTCTCACTCTGTAGGGCAGACTGGCCTTTAACTCATGGCAAGCAATCCTGCTTCAGCCTCCAAGTGCTGGGATTCCAGACATGTGCCACCATGCCTGGCTCCAGCCCTTTTCATTTTCATTTTGATTTTTAAAAAAGGATGTTTTGAGACATGGCCTCACTGTTGCCCAGGCTGGCCTTGAACTCTGTGTAGTTCAGGATAGCCTTAACTTGTGGCAGTCCTCCTGCCTGGCAGTCTCCTGAGTGCCTAAATCACGGGCATGTGCCACTATGCCTGGCAAAATGTTTGTAAATTTTGAGACAGGATCTGGCTAAGCGTAGCTCAGGGTAGCACTGAACTTGTTCTCCTGCCCTGCAGCTATTGGGAGGCTACTTCCGTAAGTTTTAAGAAGGCCCCTCATGTTGCGGAGTCTTGTAGTTAGTTGGGCAAGAGGACAGAATTCCACTTGGGATATCGCAGATTCGAAGGAGGCTCTATGTTTGCAGTGTCCCAGGTATTTATATGGACACTAGACAGAGGGCTAGGGAGGATTTGTGTCTATATACATGGAAAAGGGAGAGCAGGGCTGCTTAGGCGTGGAGTTGGTGGGGAATTCCAGGGTTGAGTACGGGGTTTCTCTCTCTCTGGCGCTCTTATTTTTAACTTCTCTTTAGCAATGAAACCGCACCCTTCCTTCTTCCTGAAAGTGATGTTAAACTTCCCTCCCGTAACCTTCCCTAGCCTAAAGGGGATGGGGTGGGAGAAGCCTGCCCAGGGGCTGGGCCTCGCCCTATGGGACTGGAGGAAGAGCAGGGAGTGTTTCCATGTGGCACAGTGTCATCCAGTTCCTTCCAGTGCTGAGGACAGTGGCTTCAGGATGACTTTTCGGAGTGTGTGCTGTACTGTCCTCATCAGTGAGGAGAACACTGAGACTTCCCCTGACGGCACTTTGGGTACCTGTGTTCTTCATGTTTGGAAAAGGATTCTTATGTCTGTTGCTTCTTTCTTTAAAAAGCTGTGTGTAATGGGAGTTTGCACTGGGAGCAGAGCATGGAGACTCGTGAACAATAAAGAAGGCTCTTGGAAACCCCCTCAGTTAGCCTTCCTTACATTGTGAGGGGTTTCTAAAAAGGTTACGTGTGGTCTCTGCTATTTGTTCAGCAGATAGGTTTTTTTTGTTGTTGTTTTGTTTTGTTTTTGTGGACACAGGAGCTCACCATATAGCTTAGGCTGAGTTTGAACTTGGAATCCTCCTGCCTCAGCTTCCTGTGTGCTGGGATCATAGACATGGGCCCCCATGCCCAGCTAGCAAATTGTTTTTGAGTGCCTGTCATGTGCCAGGCACTGCTCCAGGAAGAAAGGGCCTACCCTTAAATAGAAGTGACCAGACCCTCCTGTTGCCCACATGGTGATTGAGACTGGAGCCTCCAGAGACCCAGTCGGCCAGAGCTGGAGGCCGGGGCCTGTGAGGAGAGTGCTAAGCCTCGGGCGATGCGCTTAATGAGTACTCACACCAAGGCTTCAGGCCACAGATGCTCTCTTGAGCCCTCACCCTGTTTGGGAAGACACTGGTGTTTGCTAGAGCCGAGGAGGCCACGAGAATGAACCGTCTTCTGTGGGCTGTGTTTCAGAATGGCCGGTTTGGGGGCGATGCTGACCTTGAGAGGCAGAAACTGTCAGATCTGAAGCTCAGTGGACCCCAGGTAATTCTCCTAGCTCAGGGCCTAGGCTGCTTTGTTTGCATCCTTTTACCTCCCCGGCCTGGGCCGTCAGAGCACAGCGGCATCGAGTGCAGTGCCTGGCACATTGTGAACACCCCTTCTGTAGTTGTTCATTCAGGAAAAGGGTCTGTGTGATTTTGTTCTGAGATTAAGGACTATGGATATCGAGTACTGCCTGCCTGTCCCCATGCGATCCTCCATCCTTGGGCTCTGCTCTGGTTTTTTAAGGCAGGTGTGATTCTGCTGTTCAAAAACTCCGACCTAAAATCTGGCTGGTCTTGAGCCTTCGTACTACAGGAAGAGTCACCTACATAGAGCCAGTCAAAAGATGGCTCTCTTGGGGGATTTTTGGCTTATCTTAAAGTTTACATGGAGGGTCGGCAGCTCTTTCGAAGGGTCACTTAGAGGTGGATGTAAGTGGTCCACACAGTGCATACTCAGACGCCGAAAACGGGAGGTTAGGTCTGCTGTCTCTGGGGCGAGGATGTCCACATGGCTATAGTTAATTATTTAACATTAAGTAACTGGAATTTGGAAGTTTCGCTTACTCTCCTTTTGTACAAGCCCCAGATAGCCAGCACGTCCTCTAAAAATCTGAGTCTGAGCTGGGTGTGGTGCCCGAGCCTGTAATCCCAGCTCCTGGGAGCCTCACAAGGGGGAGGATCACAAGTTCAAACCCAGCAGGGGCAGCGCTTAGCAAGGGGTAACCTAGCAAGTGAGCAAGACCCTGTCTCAAAAAGTAAAACAGAGGCGGCTCAGCGCGCAGGCCCATGCTGCCCCAAAGAAAGCATGTGTGCAGAGCCCTGTGGACAAGGTCAGAAACCCTGCCTGACCCGGGGCGCTGTGCTTTGGGGAGGAGGGCTTGTTTGTCCACGGGCTCAGTGGTGCTGTCGCGCTTGCTGTCTCTTCTGCTAGGATCACAGTCACCTTCTGTACGGCACCATCCCCAGGATGCAGGAGCCCGGGCAGATCGTGGAGACCTACACGGAGGAGGACCCCGAGGGAGCCATGTCGGTGGTCTCTGTGGAGACCTCTGACGACGGGACCACGCGCCGCACGGAGACCATGGTGAGCCAGGGCCTGCGAGCTCCGGCAAGGCCGCTGGCTTGAGAGGAGGCCGGAGCGCCCTTCTCCAGGCTGACCTCCTGCGGACAGTGACGTGGCCCGGTGGTGGGAGGAGACGCTGGCTCAGGGTCTGTAGCAGTTTCCTTGCTGGGTGACTTGTGTGTCAGGTTCACTGTTACCCGACAGTCTGGGAGAGGAGCCGAGACCAGGCGCTTGTCTGGAAGCTGAGTGGTCCTCACCAGCTTCCTGTGGTGGTCTGTTAACCGGTCCTCTTTCCCTAGGTGAAGAAAGTAGTCAAGACTGTGACAACAAGGACAGTACAGCCAGTCCCTGTGGGACCAGATGGGCTGCCTGTGGATGCCTCGTCGGTTTCTAACAACTACATCCAGACTCTGGGCCGCGACTTCCGCAAGAACGGCAACGGGGGGCCGGGTCCCTATGTGGGGCAGGCGGGCACTGCTACCCTCCCTCGGAACTTCCACTACCCTCCTGATGGGTACAGCTGCCACTACGAAGACGGCTATCCAGGTGGCCCTGACAGCTACGGCAGTCTGTCCCGGGTGACCCGCATTGAGGAGCGCTACCGGCCCAGCATGGAGGGCTACCGGGCGCCCAGTAGGCAGGACGTCTACGGGCCCCAGCCCCAGGTGCGGGTGGGTGGAAGCAGTGTGGACCTGCACCGCTTCCACCCTGAGCCCTATGGGCTGGAGGACGACCAGCGCAGCATGGGCTATGACGACCTGGACTACGGCATGATGTCGGACTACGGCACTGCCCGCCGCACTGGGACGCCCTCCGACCCTCGCCGCCGCCTCCGGTGAGTGAGAAGGGTCTTGCCTGGACAGCCGGCTGGCTCTTCCTTCTGGGAGCTCTGTGGGATTGGAGACCCTGATGCTCCCTCCCTCCCTCCCTCCCTCCCTCTGCCTTAGGTCCCCCAGCGAGAGGCTGCCCTGATCTCACACTCTGAGAGCCCCACTGTAACTGCAGGAAGGGACCCCGTAGCGGGTCCCGTCTTGACTGTGCACTTTGCTTCCTGCCGTCGTGTCTGTGATTCTGGCTCAGACCTAGCCCCTTTGGGGGGCCTGAAGCCCTGGCACACTCACTACCTTGTCCTGGGGTCTCCTCAGCTTCTGGTTTGCTGACAGCTGGGAGTGTTAGTCTTTCAGAGTAGAAGAGTCAGCCAGGGTGCAGTTAAGACCCCTGCCCCACTCCACCCTGTTAGTGTTAATACAACCTTGACCTCATGAGGGCGTGCTGTGCCCTAAAGGAAGGGGTGGCAACCTTGGGCCTGAGCAGCGCTGGAGGTCACCAGGCCGCGGCCTGCTCTGACTTGACCTGTCCCTGGGCAGTCTGGTGGCGTGGCAATGGAGTGATGTTTGGCCTCGGAAAATTGCCTTGTTGCCCTGAGGAAAGACTTCTCGTGAGACTGGCAGACCTTTTCCCAGGACATGCCCAAGGCTCTGTAAGCTGTGTAGCATCATCATTTTTGTCTCACGTTCTTTGATTTTTCGTGTTGCTTTTTTTTTGAGGTAGGATTTCACTATGTAGCTCATGCTGACCTTGAATGCTATGTATTCCAGGCGATGCTCGTACCTCAGCCTCCTGAGTGCTGGGGTTATAGGCCTGCACCACCACACCCTGCTCATGTTCATTGTTTTTTAAAACAGCCCGTATCTGAGTGCAGTGGTACATGCCTGTAATCGCAGCTACTTGGGAGCCAGCTTTTATGCTAAATTGCCTGGGCTGACCTTTAACTTGAGTTTTCTTGCCTCAGCCTCCAAGGTAGCTAGGATTATAGGTGTGGGCCTCCACACCCAGCTAAAACCACCTTAAGTGGGAGACTAGTTTTTAATTCTAGGACTGTACAAAAACAGGTTTAGCCCATGGGCTACAAACCAAGCTCCAAATAAATCAGAACATGTTCTCCAGGCAAAGAGAATAAGAAATCGGGAAGATTTACGGCCGTCCCTGGCAGCTGTTGCTGTTGCTCTGTGTGGCCCGTGACCTTGTGAAGCAGATGCCGCGGTGCCTGCTCTCGGTCCCAGCAGTGCTCCCAGCTGGGTGGGGCCGGCGGAGACTCCCCTGCTGGAGCCTTAGTCACTCACCTTTGGGTGTCCTGGTCAGCTGCTGCAGCTGACTCAGTCCTAGAGGCCCTGGCCCCAGCCCAGGCGGGGCTGCCCAGAGACGGAGATCACAGCTGTCTGTGGAGAAGCTGGCCGCCCAGGTGCTGGCCACGCCTTTCCCTGACTTCCTCGTTGGAGCGAGAGAGTGAGCCAGAACCCGGCGGGTGGTGCGGCAGCCTGGCCCCTCTGCCGTCCCGGCCCGATCAGTTGGCTGAGAGGGCTTGGGGCCTGGTTTTTGGGTGGCTTCCAGGGCAGCTCTGGGCTTCGAAACCTGCCTTGACAGGCAGGAACTCGGCTCTTCCTGTGCAGGCCGAGGAGAGCAGCCCACGGTCACACTCAGGCAGGCAGGGTCAGTGGGAACCTGGGGCTTGGGGCGCCCCTGCTGATCGCTGTGTCCCTCCAGTTTGCTTGGTTTTTCTGGGCCGAGCATGGGTTTGTTAAAAAGTCTGGATCCTTGGTTTATACAAGAGGGAACTAGAACAGCTTTCTCTGAGTGACTAAAATTTGATTTTGGTAATTGTTTTTATAATTGCTTAAAATAATAACAAAAGCAACGTATGTTCACCCCGAACTTGAGACTCAGAATACGCCATTCTCATGTCAAGAGCCATTGCTATCATTTTGGTGTGTAGCTTTTGAATTCTTTTTCCTATATAATGCAGACATGCCCCATTTTTCCCCTAGTCCAATTGAAAACTTAGCTCTATACTGCCTCATTTCTGTGCAGTTTTAAAACGGTCTGGGTGGTTTTGATGAAGGGCTTTGTCTCTGAATCACTGTACCTGTGCGCTCTGCGCAGTGCGCCGCTAACCTTGAGCCCCGGTGGCAGTGGGAGTGGTTTTGTGGAACAAACAACGGCTTATTTGGAGAGTTCCACACAATAGATCCCTGCTCCTGTGGGAGTCTCGGATGAGATGAGCTCACTGATAATGGGTCTCTTCCTTCCTAGCGGCTGTGAGTAAGTGATGGTGTGACAGACTCACCCTCTAGCGGTGGTTGTTAGTACTGAGACGGGAAGACTCCTTTGACTTCTCTTTCCTTCAGTTGCTTTGTCTGTGTTCCTAGTGGCCGGTCATCCCAAATGTGATGTTGGTCACCAGGCTTCGTCTCAAGAGTTGGAGCTGTTTAGGAATTGGAGGGTGGAAGGCGTATCTCACACATACTTGTTGAGTAGCACAATAACATTGGGGTGAACTCTGAGAATTATTGTTAAGTTTATGCCCAATTAGTAAGTGCCAAAGCCAGTTCTTCATATGATGTGAGAAGTGCTTTTCTGTATCTCTGTAGCAGTCTTTCTTTTAAAATTTCCAAAGTGGGGTAAGGAGAAGCTTAACTATGAAGTGTGTTCGAGGGTTTTATTCCCCCAGCTGTTTCCTGTATAGAAATGCCTCACTTCCTGTTTAGCTAAAGACCTATAAGAATTGTTCTCAGGCTTTGTTCGCTGACTTCTGTCACGTTGAGTCAGTTTCTTTGGTTAACTCTGTCTGAGGATTTGTTTTAATCTCTATCCAGAGAAGTTAGTAGCTGTCTGGTATCATTTAAATAAATGCCAAGGAATCAGGATTTAGTATTTTTTTTGTGGTTAGGTTTTCCAAATGTTACTTTCAGAGCCAGCAAAATTCACTGGGAAAAAGTCATTTTAATCTAATTGTTGGTGCCTTTGTGATGATTGGAATTGATCAGTGTGTCGATCTCTGTGCTAGGATTGGATTATCCTGCGGATGAGGGTTCAGACTAGTGCCCAGGAAGCTAGACCTAACTACTGCTGTTCCCTTGGTGTCCCCACAACTTCGCAGGAGCTATGAAGACATGATTGGTGAGGAGGTACCATCAGACCAGTGCTACTGGGCTCCTCTGGCCCAGCACGAGCGAGGAAGCCTGGCGAGCCTGGACAGCCTGCGCAAGGGAGGCCTGCCGCCCCCGAACTGGAGGCAGCCTGAGCTGCCCGAGGTGATCGCCATGCTGGGCTTCCGCCTGGACGCCGTCAAGTCCAATGCGGCTGCGTACCTGCAGCACCTGTGCTACCGCAATGACAAGGTGAAGACCGACGTGCGGAAGCTGAAGGGCATCCCAGTGCTGGTGGGTTTGTTAGACCACCCCAAAAAGGAGGTGCACCTCGGAGCCTGTGGCGCTCTCAAGAATATCTCTTTTGGACGGGACCAAGATAACAAGATTGCCATAAAAAACTGTGATGGTGTTCCTGCCCTTGTGCGGTTGCTGCGAAAAGCTCGAGACATGGACCTGACGGAAGTCATTACTGGTGAGTGCTAGGCCGGAGGAAGCGGTGTGAGGTTGGCCTCAGTCACCCTCAAGTTGAGAAGCAGAGGCATTTTCAGTCCTTTACCTCGTGATCGTAGCTTCTGAACAGGTGGCCGTTGGGTCAGATCCTAAAGAAGTTTGTTTTTCATGGTACTAGGGATAAAGAAGTTTTAAAGAATTGGTTGCTGATGTATAGATTTCAGAAGCTATCGCCTGAAATTTTAGATTCTCGGCTTCTGTTAGGAACATGGAAGAGCTGGTCAGGCCGGTCCTCCCTCTTTGGCAGTGCTTGGTCTGAGCCGAAAGGGGCCCATGCTCTCAGTTCACCGCGACCTCTCACACGTTATCACTAACATGACTGTTAGTGCTGACCAGTTGCAGTCTCAAAGGAAGCTGCCTGTCACCCACGGACGCTGAGGGTCGGTTGCTTTTCCCCACAGTCTGCTCTGCTCTTTCACATGTGTGCATGGCCGTCAAGAGGTTCGAGTTTGCGGTCCTCCCCTCATCCAGAAGGGTGGATTTTTAGATTGTGGGCTGTGATCCAGTAGTGTGAATTGAATATAATTTTGTAGATCACAGACACCACTCTGAGAAAAAGAAAGAAAAAGCAATAGCATGAACCATGGAATCTGAAGCAGGGGCGATCTTTCTCCCCAGAGGACATTTGGCTGTTGGAGACATACTGGGTGGGTTGTCACACCTGGAGGGGAAGAGAATGTTATTGGCACCCCTGCATGAAGGCAGGGACAGTAACACCCACTCCACAACGAAGACCCCGTGGCCCCTAGTGGCAGTGGTGCTGAGGTGGAGAAGTGGTAGATGGATCGATGAGCATTGCTTGGAGTATCGTGTTGTGACACATCCCTTCATGCTTTGTGTGTGTGTGTGTGTGTGTGTGTGTGTGTGTGTTTTGAGCTACAGTGTAAAATGCATTTCTTACCATGGGTCATAAACTAAAGCTTGAGTGTCACTACAAGGTGCTGGGTCACTCTGGAAAACTGAGAAGCAGTGAAGTAGGGCAGTGGTGGCGAACCCGTGGCATGCATCCTGCAGTGGGCTGTTTGTGATCACTGAAGGTTCCGGAAGGTTTGCTATCACTAGAATGGAGGATTCTCTGACATTCTTCAAGGGCTCTCGGGTGCTAGAGCACTGTCTGACCGTTGTCTCCGCCAGGAACCCTGTGGAACCTCTCGTCCCATGACTCTATCAAGATGGAGATCGTGGACCATGCCCTGCACGCCCTGACGGATGAAGTGATCATCCCGCATTCCGGCTGGGAGAGGGAGCCGAGTGAGGACTGTAAGCCTCGCCACATCGAGTGGGAGTCAGTGCTCACCAACACTGCTGGCTGCCTCAGGTAACGCTAGGGGCTTTGAAGACGGACCCAGCCTCTTACAGTAGTTCGGGTGCTTTAGCCTGTTGTCCACTCGCGCTTGTTCTTGTGTGGCGTGCTGCAGCTCCAGCCTGTCCACCTGGGCTGCTGCTTCTCCGTGTGCACTGCACAGACCTGCCCTGTGGGTTTGTGCCTGTCCCCCGTATGTCCTCCTCGCCTTGATGACCCCGACTTTGTCCATCTCATTTGGTACACCTGTGGAGAGCTGACACGTGTGAGGAGGTTCTGGGCTGGTGTGTGTCTGTCCTCAGTTACCCACGTTTCAGCTGGACACTGCCCTGTTCCGAATCTGTACTCCACTCAAGAAGCATCTCTTCTGTCTTGAGTCACTGCTTTTGGCCTGCGGGGTTCTGGAGGTTGGGACTGTGAGTCCTCCTCTCAGCTGCAGTGCCTTGCTCATAGAAGATAGTGGTTACTCATTACAGTGAGTAGCAGAGGCATCGAGGAGGCTTGTAGATGTTGCGGGGTGGTTGGGGGGACTTCTGGACGCGGGTCATTGTAAGCCTCGCCTGTTTTCCAGGAACGTAAGTTCCGAGAGGAGTGAAGCCCGCCGGAAGCTTCGGGAATGTGATGGCCTAGTTGATGCCCTCATTTTCATTGTTCAGGCTGAGATTGGGCAGAAGGATTCAGACAGCAAGGTGAGTTACTGTGTCTGGGTGCGGATGACCTACCACCTCACATTCTCACCTCTCCGTGAAACACCTAGACGAGCACCTTCCTGGGTGTCCAGCCTAGAAGAACATTATATTACATTACAGCTACTTGCCCGTCTTTCAAGACTGTATTCTTTAAGTAGGAAAAACAAAACCCGAGTTTTTGTCACATATCAGATAGTGGTAGAAGCCATTAAATCTATACGTTGGCCTTCCATTGGCCTGAGGGTACAAGGGTGTTGACAAGCCAGGGGCACGGAAGAGGCATTCTGAGAGAGGGTGGACTTGGGTTTGCTTTGTCTTTTTGAGACAGGGTCTCACTAGGTAGTTCAGATTGGCCTTGAGTTCACTGGAGCCCAGGCTGGCCTCGAACTGCCAGTGGTTCTGCCTCCGCCTCCTGAGTGCTGGCACTGCAGGTGTGCACCACCACACCTCGCTTTGAGGATGGGTGTTCCAATGCCTGAATCGTGGACACTTGTCCGCATTGGGAGATGGCCGTAGACGCTCTCTTCTCTCACTGGGCCTTTGTCTTGCGCCCCTCAGCTCGTGGAGAACTGCGTCTGCCTCCTGCGGAACTTATCCTACCAAGTTCACCGGGAGATCCCACAGGCCGAGCGCTACCAGGAGGCCCCTCCCGCTGTTGCCAACAACGCCGGACCCCACGCGGCCAGCTGCTTCGGCGCCAAGAAGGGCAAAGGTGAGTGTTACTCCTCAGCCCTTCTCTTACCCGTGGCGCGGGAGAGGAGGGGGCGCGGCTCTGGGTGCAGGGTCTTTGCCGACATCACCACGTCTGCCCGGGCCTGCTGCCGTGCGGCCGCTTCCCCTGCTCTCTGCTTTGGTTGTGGTGGCGGTGGCAGCGGCGGCAGTGGCAGCTGGTGGTGTTGGTGACCGGGTGCAGAAGGACAGCAGCTCAGTGGCTCTGGGGCCTTCTTCCCCATTCCTCCTGCGTGTCTCCGCGTTCTGTTCTTCCCTGTGCTCTCCTGCTTGTTTGCCCATGATCCCGTTGACACCTTTCTCCTGCATTTCTCTTCCTTTATTTCTCTGCTCCGCTTTCCGCTTTGGGTGACGCACGGGAAGATGAGTGGTTCTCCAGAGGTGAGTGGACTCTTAAGGTGCTTGTCTGTGTGTCGTTTGCACGTTTTGGTTTTAGCGCCCCCAGCATTTCCTTGCCTAACCCTCCCCTGTGCTGCATGTAGGAACTCTGCTTCGGAGGGCCACTGAAACAAGCTGGCTCTTCCGAGCTCCTGCTCATGGCATGTTATTTCTGGGCGGCGTTCCCTGTCACCAGGACTCAGGTCCACAGCACCGGTGGTTGCCCTTGTTTCCTGCCTGCTGCCTGCTTCTGTCCTTATTCCGCATAGCCTCTGCTGGGACGGGGGCGGGGGTCCTTTTGTTCTTTTGATGGATCTGTGGTCTGAAGAGTCTAAAGTATGACAGTGGCCAGATGAAATCTTTCTAACTCTCTCCCTCTTCTCCTCCCTCCTCCCCACATTTCTGCAGGGAAGAAACCCACAGAGGATCCAGCGAATGATACAGTGGACTTCCCTAAAAGAACCAGTCCTGCTCGAGGTAAGTTGTTTTTTTCTTTTCCTTCTCCAGAGCTCTCATAAACATAGTATTGGTGTTTGATGGCTTAACAGCACACTTTCTGCCGCCTGCTTGCTGTCCTCTCCTCTGACTTAGGGGTTTGAGGCGATGACCATCGCGTTGGGGAACAGCAGGGTTACAACAGGAGCTTGCAGGGACTGCTTGTGGGCCAGAGCAGAAAAGTAGTTCTGGGGACTGGAAGCCTCTTTGTCATAGATTGACTCTTTGTGCTCACTGTATATTAATGAATGTAAAGTGTACAGCTCACAGCTCTCCAAGGACATAACACATTTAAATGTTGTGAAGTCTGTGATGGTCCTTTTTACTTACTCCTCATAAAGGTTGGGAGGATGACTGGCCTACGTTAGAACTGATTTATTGGAGGTGAGGAGTTTTTAATCCCTGGTCCGTGAGCTCAGTGTTCATGGTGCAGTGAGGCAGAGGAAGCTATAGGGGAAGCGAGTCCAGGGCAGGGAGGGCGCCCTGAGAGTGACGAGCTGGTGCCTGTTCATGACCAGCTCGTTCTCTCTAAACCTGAGTGTGCATGGGGTTGTGGAGCCCAGTGGTACAGGGGAGTAAGTGCGTCAGCCGAGAGTCCGAAGGCTGGACGCCTGCCAGCCAGAGCCGGGGTCGTCGAGATCGGTGAGTCCTGTTTTCTTGTCCTTCCCCGGTGCAGGCTATGAGCTCCTGTTTCAGCCAGAGGTGGTCCGGATATACATCTCACTCCTCAAGGAAAGCAAGACTCCTGCCATCCTGGAAGCCTCCGCTGGAGCCATTCAGAACTTATGTGCCGGGCGCTGGACAGTGAGTCCCTTTCAGAAGGTGGATCTGGATTTGGGGGCACTTTGGTGATTGGCTCGCTGTTTGTAATCTTTCACCGTCTGTGTGCTCTTTCTAGTATGGCCGATACATCCGCTCTGCCCTGCGTCAGGAGAAGGCGCTCTCGGCCATCGCTGATCTCCTGACCAATGAGCACGAGCGCGTGGTGAAAGCGGCCTCCGGAGCGCTAAGGAATCTGGCTGTGGACGCTCGTAACAAAGAGCTCATCGGTAAGGAGCCGAGCACCGGCCTCGCCTTGCAGGTGGCATGGTGCGCACCATGCAGCAGGGGTGCAGTGAGTCCTGGCCGAGATTGCCAGGGGAAGGAGCCCAGCACTCCAGGGCCACCCTAGGGGTGGCGCAGTTCTCAGGACTGAGGAAGCAGACCAGGAGTCCCTGGTACTGGAACACCCATGTTGCTACTAGGCATTGTTCTGCACTTCATGTTTTCATTTGATCCCCACCGCTTTACGGAGGGCTCTTTTGTTTGTAATAGGATAGGGAAGCTGAAGGTCACAGACGTTAATGTCGCTGGTTAGTGGCAGAGCCCGTGTTGTTGCTTTCTAAAAATCCCTAATGACAGTTGTACTGCGTAACTGCAGTAGTGAGCACCGTCTCCGTGGACAGTGGGTCCATAGCTGTGCCCTGTCCTCTGCCTGAGGCGGTGTCTGACAGCCCTGTGGGCTGCGGGAGTGACTCAGGATGGTGCCTGTGTGTGGCCTGGTGGCCGCAAAGCGCCATGTGCGGCTCCTCACGCCTGGCCCTGGCTTGTGTTCCTTCTGCCTCGCTGCTGCAGGTAAACATGCTATTCCTAATCTGGTGAAGAACCTGCCAGGGGGCCAGCAGAGCTCCTCCTGGAATTTCTCTGAGGACACTGTCGTCTCTATTTTGAACACCATCAATGAAGTTATTGCCGAGAACTTGGAGGCTGCCAAAAAGCTTCGTGAGACACAGGGCATTGAGAAGCTGGTGTTGATCAACAAATCAGGGTGAGCTCACACTTGGCATCACAGCGTGGTGGTGGGGGGATTGTAGAAAGATGGGGGCTCCTGGGAAGGAGCGTTCCTCCTTGGCTTTCTAGGATTGTTTCCCCTTGTTTACACGTGGGATAGTGTGACGAGGTGTTGCTCTATTTTGTCCTAAGGCCCATGAATTGATAATCGGCTTTTCTTTTGTGGTACTGAGAATTGAACCTACGGCTGAGCTGAGCTACATCTCCAGACTTTTTTTTTTGAGACCAGGTCTGTAGTGCAGGCTGGCCTTGAACTCACATATGTAGGCCAAACTCAACAGCGATTCTCCTGCCTCAGCCTCCCAAGTTCTGGGCTTACAGGCATGCGCCACCATGCCCAGCTTCTAGGCTGTTTCTTTAAACTTTTATTTTGAGACAGGGTCTTATTAAGGTGTGCAGGCTGCTGTCACATTTGCAGTGCTTCTGCCTCCACCTCCTGAGCAGCTGTGATAACAAGCAGGTGCCCCCACACCTAGCCAGTGTTCTGAGAGGGTGTCCAAGCTGGTGGTTTGGGCCGGCGGTAAGCTGCTTTTCTGGTCTTGCATCCACGTCATGTGGTGGTACTTTCCTTCAAAGGAATCGCTCAGAAAAAGAAGTCCGAGCAGCAGCGCTGGTACTGCAGACCATCTGGGGATACAAGGAGCTGAGGAAGCCGCTGGAGAAAGAAGGGTGGAAAAAGTCAGACTTTCAGGTATGGGCATGCTGGGCACAAGGCGTGACCGTTGTTAGCTCTTCTGTATCACCTGGGATGAGGCTGCTGTCTTCGGCTCCTCCTGTTCTCCAGTTAAGTAACTGTCGTCTTGAGCTGCTGCTGCTGAGCCGGCCCTCCTGCCTCCCTGTGTGCTGCCCAGGAGAGGCAGAGGCCTGGGGCTTCTCTCACACCTGCCTGGCCTTGGAGGGTTGACCGGTCCTGAGACTGCCTCCCCGAGGGCGCGCACCCTTGAACTCAGGCCTGCTGTTTCCCTGGGCTGTGTGCTCCGTGCTCAAGCGCTGCCTCTTGCCAAGATGGGTGTTGGGGAGGTGGAACCCAGGGCCGCTGCTGGGGACTCGGGTCTGGGCGAGATGAGAGGGCCTCTGAAGGAGGCGGCACAGAGAGGGGGAGGCAGGTCCGAGGTCGTGCCTGAGGCTGTGTGCCGTGCGCCTGTGTCTGCCTCCAGGTGAACCTCAACAGTGCCCCGCGGAGCCAGAGCAGCCACTCCTATGATGACACCACGCTGCCCCTCATCGACCGCAGCCAGAAGCTAGGTATGGCGTCTGGGCCGCGCTGTCTCCTCGCGGCCGCTGCTGGGGCTCTGCTGGGCTGGGAAGTGAGAAACAGGTGCTTGTGTTTGCTCCTGAGTGAGCGAGTCTGCTCAGGTGGGGGGTGTTCGAATGTTAGAAACCGGAACAGGAAATTAGCCTGCATGAGACTCCTCTGCTGGAGAGTGAGCCATAGCTTCTCTTTTTTTTCCTTTTTAAATTTCTGTAGAATACCAAGTAATGTCTACGTACTGTTAAAATGAGAAAATACAGACAACTAGAAAAATAACAAAATCAGTTATTTCTAATACCCAGTGTTAACTACTAAACTTTTGAAACCTTTTGCCGTGTGAACAAACATATTTCTCCAAGAAATGAGTTTTTCCTTTTCTCACTGGATGTGTGCCATGGCCCTCGGATCTCAGGGACGGTGGTGCTGAGTCCAGGCCCTAAGCCCAGTGAGCCTGTGTGGCCTGCTCGCCACGGCCCTGAGCTAAGCAGAGCCCAGCCTTGCTGGAGGGTGGGCTCCGTGGAGCTGCTGCGTTAGTGCTGTTCACGTTTCCCCCTGCGTGGTGAGGGAGAGGAGAGGCTCTCCCTCCTGGCTTCCACACAGCCAGTGCTGAGGGAGAGGAGAGGCTCCTCCGGCGCTTGTGCTGCACCCGGAAGCAGCACAGTTGTTGTGCTGTTGCTGGAGTGCTGGTTAGACTTGCCGCCTGTTTATGCAGTACCATTCTACTTGAAAAAAGTGACTAGAAGAGAAACTGTCAGTATTTACACCGGGTATTTCGCTGGCATTTGCTCAAAAATGTATTCAGGAGCTGGGCAAGGTGACATGTGCCTTTAATCCCAGCACTCTGGGAGGCTGAGGCAGGAGGATCACAATTTGAGCCCATGCTCAGAAACTTACCAATTTAGTGAGACCCCGTCTAAAACAGGGCTGGGATGTAGCTTAGTGTGAAGGCCCTGGGTTTAATCCCAAGTGATGCAAAAAATTGAAATAATAAACTAGCACCTGAGTGCAATAAAAAAAAAAAATGCAGTGAGCTTGTTGCTTTGAGCAAAAAAACTGAAGTATTTTCTGCCTCAGCTTTGAAGTGAAAATCAAAATCTTGAAAATTTGAATCTATCTCTGTGAGTCTGCTAACTTCCCAGTACTTAAGAGTTTCTAATCAAATCAGCGGTGACATTAGTGAATGTAATTTTTAAGTGCAAAATGTGTGAAATGAAATGTGTTAATATCTAGAATATCCACATACTTTTGTGAACTAGATTTTTGTTCATTTTCTTTCGTGGTGTTTTTTATTTTACTTTGTTTTTTTATAAGATGTGGACTTGCTATGTAGTTCAGGCTGACCTTGAATTCACTGTGGAGTCCAGGCTGGCCTCAGACTCATGGTGACTTTTTCTGCCTAAAACTCCCAAGTGCTGGGGTTACAGACAATGTACCACCAGGCCTGACCCTTGTGTTTTATTTTTGAGACAGGGTTTTGCTGTGTAGTTCACGCTGGCTTTATAATCGCAGTGATCCTGGGCATGGTGCTATATTGCTGTTGATCAGTATCACGATACGTCAGAATCATGCTTGGGTAATTGGTCCATTGTAAATGCAAGACAGACCAGTGGATTTTTAATTTAACAGGGTACAAAGAGGTTGTTTGGTTTCGTATTTCACGTTGCTGCTAACCTTTAAGAACCTTTAAGCTTTGGAGACAGTGTGGTGGTACAGGCCTGTGATCCCAGCACTGAGGGAGACGGAGTCAGGAGGATCACAATTCTGAAGCTGCCCTAGGCAATTTAGCAAGATCTTGTCTGGAAATCACAAAATTAAAAGGTTTAGGGGATATAGCATAGTGTGAAGACCTGGGTTTAATCATTCAGTACTGCAAAAAAAAGAAAAAGAACTTCTAGGATTGAGAATGTAGCTCAGTGGTAATGCTGGTGTAGTGTGAGGCAGGCCCTGTATTGATCCCTGGCACCACCGAAAGGGTGGGGAGGGAATGACTGTTTGTTGAGTATTTGTATACTATCAGAGAGTGTCCACGGTTACCTGAAAGGCTGTTCATACTCACCTTTTCTGAACTTTTTATCTCCTTGAGGCTGGATTTTCATTGTTCATCAAGCAAAGTAATGTATCACAACAGATTGAAGGCCGAGACAGATGTGAGGATCCAGCTTGCTTTGATTTAGCCAAAGTTTCAAGCTGTATTCGAAATTGTGCACAATGTTTTGTATTAAAAATATTATTTACAGTCTAGATGTGGTGGTACACACCTGTGATTCTGGGACTTAGGAGGCTGAGGCAGGAGGATCACAATGAGTTCTAGGCAGTGAGACCCTGTCTTATTAACAAGCAACAAAAGCAAAGACAGAACCAAAAAATGACATGTAGTAAATTTATTTTATTTTTTAAGTGAAACAGACATTTACAGTTTCTCAGTACAGTAAATACTAATATATACGACTCACCAGTGAAAGCTCTTTGATCCTCACAATTGTATTTTTCAGTGCAGCGTTCGGGATTGCACCTGAGGCCTCACCCATGTTAGGGGAATGCTCTGTTGCTAAGCTACATCCTCAGCCCAGCTCCTCACTCTTTTTTAAGACTGAAAAGAGGCCTTGAGACCAAGCAGTTGGAAAAGCTGCTGGTCTGAGTTGCTTGTCTGTGGGAAGGGATCGCGCCGTGCGCTGGGCTTCGTTACCCCTGTGGAGTGGTGCTTGGTGCCCGGCGCATTGTGGGTGCTCAGTGAAAGCCTGCGTGCAGAAAGGGCAGGACACACCCGAGAGCAATTGCTGATGTGTAGAGATTCTCAAGAGCTGGTTTTGACCTGGATAACTTTCTGACTTCATGTAGATAAGAAACCTGACCGGGAAGAAATTCAAATGAGCAATATGGGATCAAACACAAAATCAATAGGTAGGTAATGAGCTCCCGCCTGAGGATGTGGACTGGCACCTCCCTGGATGAGAGACCTGCTCCGCTTGCCAGTGTTCTCCTGACACCCTCCCCATCTGCCACCCTGCAAGCGCCCTCACACCATCCCACCGGGAAGGGTGTGAGGTGGTCTGTGTACTTCCTGCGCGTCCTCAGAAGCTCTCAGAAAACCTCCCTGCCTCCCCGTCACTGCAGAGTCACGCCGGTGTCCCTGAACGCAGCCCACCACGGTCTGAGCCATCCTCTCCCCTCTGTCTTCTGCAAGCACTCTCTGCCTTCCTGGTCTACTTGCTGTCCTGTCTTCTTCTTCTTCTTTTTGGACTGTCCTTCCCATTTGCTTTGTAAATTTCTCTTCATCCCCAAAGGCTTAACTCAAGCGCTGTTTTCCTTTGTCAGGTCCTTCCCACTGCCGCACACGGCACTCTTCTCTTCATTTCAGTCCCTTAGAGCCTGGCCCCCTCGGGTCAGCCCCCGGGTCACGCGTCAGCCCTGGCTGTTCTTCAGTTATGCTCTCTTCTGCTGTATTCAGGTTCCTTTGAAGCCAGGACCATCAGACTTAATGGCCTTCAGCAGTGCTGGGCAAAGCTCAGTTCCCAACAGAGGTGCCTGCCTCACACTTAGGATGTGGTGCACGCTGGGTATTGGGGGCCGCCATGTGTCCGTGTACTGTGTTCACAGATAACAACTATGCTACACTGAACGAGAGAGACCACAACAGAACACTGGATCGAAGTGGGGACCTGGGCGACCTGGAGCCGCTGAAGGGAACACCCTTGATGGTAAATCTTCTTTGGCTGGGTCTCTTCTGAGGCCTGCATGTCGTGTGAAGTGGGGAAAAAATACAGAGAGAAAGATAGAATCTTTTTCTGGTGGGAGTTTGCAGGAGAAAGCAGGGACTTGGCCTGATGGTGGGATGTCTGCATGGGTCAGGTTGGAGAAGGCAGTCTGTAGGGGTGTTACTGACAAGACTAACACTAACGGATCTGTTCTCACCCATCGCTCTCGCGCCTGCCTGTTGGTGATGTTTTGCCCCTCTTTCACTTTGACCTGGCCGGTTTGAATGCGCACGTTCTGGAGTTTGCCCTAGGCCTGGCACAGCCTCAGGAGGTTCTCCCTGTCCATACTAACCAGCTGCGTGTGTTCACAGCAGGACGAGGGGCAGGAGTCTCTGGAGGAAGAGTTGGATGTGTTGGTTTTGGATGATGAGGGGGACCAGGTGTCTTACCCCTCCATGGTAGGTCCTCCAGCCGCTTCCGGACTGCCCTTGAGGAAGGAGGCACCTGCGCGCCTGCGGTTTGCAATCATGCTCCTCTGATCAGGCTGGAGACTTGGGTCTCAGCTGTGGGCCGGGGTTCTGCTTCTGTGATTGTGATCTCTTGAGAGGCTGGGTACGCAGCTGGTGATCTGCTTCTCCATCGTGTGCTACTTTTCCTCCTTGAGATTTGCCCAAGTGTTTCCCACCCTTTCTTACTCCCCACCCTGCTAACATGCTCTTTCTTGTTTTCCTACAGCAGAAGATTTAGCACCACTATCTCCGCTCCGTCTGGGCTTATAATATAATGTACTTTTATTTTTTGGTGGTGAAATGGACTGATTTTTTCCTTTCTTCGCTGGACTGTTGTGCCAACTGCCAGGCTGCCTCCTGCCCTCACAGCCCCCAGTGGTGGCTGCCTTCATTCCACCGACTCCCGACTTCTCACGGTGAAGTTGAATCGTCCTGCCCACCCCCACTCAGCCTCCGGTTCCTGCCGAGAAACCTGACTGTGGTGTGCGAATCACATGGAGAAACTGCTGCAGATGAGCTTCCGGCCGGCTCTCCGGGAACTCGGCCTTGTGTGGGGGAGAGGGAGGAGTGGGAATCTTCACTGGAAGCCACGGAGCACCGGAAGCTCCGCGCCGTATATGCAATGTCCAGCGATCTGCTACACTGATGGTTCTTAATCAAAATCATTTTTCCTGGTGGGGAAGGGACCTTTTATTTTCTTTTGGAGAATGGGAAGCGTGAGTTCTTCCTTACTCCAGTGGCTAGCTTGCGGCAAGAAGGCTGACAAGTTTGGCACATTCCGCCTGCCGAGGCCGGGGCGTAGCAGAAGGTCCCCTGGCACTAGGATTGGAAACGCTTGCTGCTCTCATCTCCGAGGCAGGGACCGCAAGGACCTACAGACTCAGCTCATCGGTGAGCCTCATGCCAACCCTGGGCCACAGCCTCTGGGCCGCCTCCACCCTGTGATGAGTCCGCTGGCCAGGCCTGGCCGCCTGCAGGAGGCTGTGTGAAGGTGAGGACGTCGAAGAAGACTGGTGGAGAAGGCGCGGAACACGTCTTTCGGGAAGAAGAAGAGCCTCTGGGAGGAGCGGGAAGGGATGTACAAGCAGCGGTCAGTCTGAAACTGGCAGGAAGCTTCCGAGCGGCTTCCCCGACCCCGTTCCCCTCTTCCCGCCCTCACGAGCCTGTCCTCCAGCCTCCTGGATTGGTTGGCACCTGCAGGACTTGATGTACATAACTCCTGTTCCTCCCTTTCAAGGCGGCGATTGCCCCGGCTTTGCCTCCTCTCTGTGCCTTTGGCCTGGGTGCATCTCCTCCCTCCCTCCCATGTGCCTTCCTTTGCCTCTGCAGTCATTTCTCATGATTTTGCAAGTTACTTTGTTGCTTTCTTACCCACTGTTGGCCCTCAACAGCAGGAAGAAGAGGAGAGAGGACTAGAGAACCTCAGGTTCTTTCCCAGGGGCTGGTTAGCTCTGATCTCTGCCATGGCAGGCTCTTCTTGACAGTGCGGGGCTGGGACTTTGTGAAAGTCTCATCTTAATGGGTCTCACAGTGTGGTTGGCAGAGGGGGGAGAGGTGTGGCCCTTACTCCTTTGTCGCCAGTGTTCGCCAACCCTGGGGAAGGGGTCCTAGGGACATGGCGTTCCCGCCCCGCCCCCTCTCGCTCTCATGTGTATTAGCGGGTTGGCCAGAGGAACCAGATGCTATATGGGTTGATAATTTTTCTTTTAACTGTTTTTCTTACTTGCCTTCTACTCCCCTTAATCTGAAAGCTCTGTTCAGTGCAACTGGAATCTTCCCTCCCTCTTCCCTTCCCCTGCATAGTGAGGCTCTGGGGTAGGAGAAATGTGCACAGCCCTCCAGCGCCTCCCCAGGCACTGCGACTCCTCCTTCACCTTCCCTCCCACCTCTTCCCACTCTGCCCACCTTTCCTGGCCAGAAGGAGCCTTTTGCTGCCCGTGACCTCAGAGCTCAGTGCACAGGGGAACTGCCCCAGCTGGCCCTGGCCCCACGCTTAGTTCCTCTCGTCCTCCTCGCTCTTCCTGGTGCTCTCTCTTCTCGGTGCGGTGTGGGTCATAGAATAGCCATGGGCTTTGGGGGACCTGTAGCTGTTTCTGTTTTGCCATTTTCATTTATAAACACTAAACATTCAACTCCAGAGAACCAAAAATCCCACCTTCCCACCGGATACTACTCGGGGCGTGTCTTCTGCCCCATTACATTTGCTCCTTTTCTTTCTCTCAATGCTTTTAAAAAAAATGAGTTTTTATATAAATAAAGTTTTTAAAGTGTGTGTGTGTGGGAGATCTGTGTCATTTCTTCACTTGCAGCTGTGCCTCTTCCCTCCTCCTTCACCCCGCTCCTCGCTGCCTGGTCACGGTTCTTTTTCTTTGCAGAACAGCCAGGAGGCGCTTGCACCAGGGTGGATTTCTTTTGCCCTCCGTCCCACCTCTTATCAGGCAGCTCTCTTTTTAATTTTATAACGAAACATTATTTTTCCTCTGAAGATTGTTAAAAATGAAACGTGGCTGCGGTGGAGCCCTGGGAGCTCCCTGCTGACTCAGAGCTGGGAAGCTGAAGTATAAAGAATTCACAGCTTCCCTAGTCCCTGGGATTCTTACAGCCATTTGACAAAGCTTACATGGAATAAAGCCTTCTGCAGCGCAGGACAGCGCAGGACCCGCTGTTAGACAGAACACAGCAGATTAGAGGACGCCAGCTGCAGCTGCCACTCTGCAGATGGGCGAATGTAGAACTGAAGCCCCGCATAGAGATCACCAGGGTCACGGTATTGCTCCTCAGGCCGTGCGTAGTGGGGTTGTTTATTTGACAGTCCATGCTGCTTGATAGGACAGAAAAGTGGGTCCCACCAAGCACTGTGGGGTGCGTAGCAAATACTCCGGTCAGATTACCAGGGGTTGCCTCTCCTCAGATGCCAAGGATTAAGATTTATGGGGAGAGACTTATTTTTTGGGCACCCTTATGTCCTGTCATATGACTTAGGAACCTCCAGAGGATTTCTGTAAGATGCTTTCTGTAGGCCCACATCTTTAAAGTAGCTGCTCCTGACGGTTGTGGTGTTTCATGTTCTGAAGTAAGATGTAGGTTTGAAAACTTCCTTGGGCTGGTGAGACCTGGAAACTCAGCACTGTAGCTGTACCTCTAAAAGCTTGAGTTGTGTCGGTCATTGTGTCTGACATCAGCACAAAGCCAAAAAGCTAGCAGAGTTTATTTTCCAAAGAACTTCGGGAGCCAGTCCCCCTTGAGATTGTTACTACCTGTGTAGAAAAATCTGGCTCTACTGGTCAGTAGCCTTCTGTTTCTCTATTATTCACCGGTACTGAACTAGATACAAACCTTATTCTCTTCTCTTAGCTGTAGATTGGCCCATTTGTTTTATCTCCTTCAGTAAATATGCTAGATGTTGCTGTGGAGGTCAAGTTTAGTTTAGACAATGAAGCAGATGGGTCCTTTCTCGTAGATTGCAGTCAGTGAGAATCTTACGTGGCTAAGATCTGTGATCTTTTTAACATATTTCTGTGCCCTCTCGAATGAGTTAAGCAGAATGGTTTAAAATTTCTGTATATCCAGTTTCTTGGTGCTGATTTGGTAATGCCTTTTTTTTGTGTGTGTGTATGTGTGTGGGGAATAGAACTCAGGACCTTCTACTTGCCAAGCAGGCGCTGTGCCGCTGAGCTAGATCCCCGGCCCCTGGTGATGCTTTTGAAGCCTCTTGTTACCTGTTGCTCACATCGACTTTAGGAATCCTTTGGATTTTGTCAAGATTTCCCATGTACTCACATCCTGTTGGGCCTGACCTTTCCCGGAAGTGCTTAAGGGTGCTGGCTAGGCACTCGTGTGGCAGCAGCAAGATGGTTTTTTGAGTGTTTGTGAGACAGCTGTAGTGAGTCTTGCTGTGACCTCCCTTGGTCACCTGTTCGTTCTTACTGAACTGTTACTTTGCGCTAGAAGCGTTTCACCCAGGAAGAACCGAGGACCAGGCTTCCGTCATTCTCGTTTTGTCCATTTTAATATCTGATGTACAGGCTCGTGGTACTTCACCGTAGATGGAGTTAGCAGCTAGACCTAGCTTTGCAGGTGTGAGACAGTGTAAAGGGATCACCTGGGCTGTTCGTTGGAACTGCGGATTCCAAGGGCTGGGGTGGCGCTGGAGTAACGCCTTGGGTTCCATCCCCCACGCCACGCGGGTTCCTGTGTTCCCTTTCAGAAATCCAGTCAGTAGGAAATGGGGATCCGAAATCTTGAGTCAATTGGGTGTGGTCAGTTCACTACTGAGAGATCAAGTGACTTCAGATGACAGCGTCAAAGGGGAACGAAGACAACTGGCTCCAAGTCCACTGGCAGTGACGCTGGTTCCGGTGGGTGTAGGTGATGTGACCAGTTGAGGTCCACGGAGAAAGCAGCGTGGATGCCAAAGGAACTTCTCGTGCAGTACTGGGTGTACAGGGGAGAGGCTGGGATGTGGCACCCTGCCCGTCACACGATGGCAGTCGTGTCCGGGGGCGGAGGGAAAGCCAGCCCTGTGCACGTGCACTCTGGGCCCGAGAGAACGAATGTCCTGGCTAGAAAGGGCGCCTCACACAGCAGGCAGTGGCCGCACTGTCCAAAGCCAAGGTCGCTACCCCAGAGGACCCACCCACTCAACAAGGTACAACCATGTGCGACAATAGAATGCTAGGAGCAGGTTTGTTTAGCGCAGACTAGTTTCCTGTCCCCTGGCTGGGATGCCTGGGGCGTTAATCCTTCAGCTGTGCCACGCAGTGTATGGGCAGACACGGACCGAGGAAAGCTGCAGGAAGTGGGTAGGGGGACATCCGTGACCTGTCTGGGCCATTCTGGCCTGACTCAGCTGTTCTTTTATGTGGTGGGGAATCACCTGGGCCAGTTCATGGTGAGTAGGGAGTTGGGTTCCTCTCTCGGTGCTGTAACGGACGTCAGCATGTGTTCTGCCCCCTGCCCCCCCCCACGTGAGAGTGCTGCGCTTCCCATCTCTGCCTTGCTGTTGGAAGGCTCTTCCACTTTCACCCAACACGTGGGGTTTCTGTCTGTCCCTATGCCAGTGCTAGTGGACAGAGAGTCTGAACACCAGAAAGCATTTGTGCCCGAGAAGAGCAAAGCTATGGTCAAGTGTCCCTCGCTTCTTAACTGCTTTTTGTCTTTGCCTTTGCCTTGGACTTTTTACAGCTTTTGTTGGAGTCAGGAGCAGAGGAGAGCAGGGTGTGTGTGTGGAGCTCCTCCAGGCTTCTGACTTTGGTGGCATGGTGGATTGCATACTTTGAACGGCCTTTCAACAGAAGTAATCAGGATGCTGAGTAACTAACTATTAAAAAGTTTTAACCATTAGTAAGAAGGCTTGAAAGAAACCCACAGATACTGAAACTAAAGCACATACTGAAATCCTAAACTGCTCAAACCAGCTTTTACTCAAGAGCTGTTGCCCAACTCAGCGGGCCTTAAACTTCTACAGAACAGGGGGAAGATGAAATGGCAAACCTGGTTTCCACACACAGCTGCACACCTCAGAAGAAAGGGCTGGGAATCAACCCCAGTCCACAGACAGTGCCCACGACCTTGGTGTTGGGTGGGAGAGCAGACACACAGCTTTCCCTGAGAACTCCAACTGCAGAACTGGAGTCCGAGTAGGCCCTCGGGAGGGAGATCTCAAACGGAGCTGTTTGTCCTGGCTCCAGATGATTTCCGGAAGCCGGCGGCGTTGCTGAGGACTCGGAAGCAACTCCCATAAACACCCAGGGTGGATCAAAGTTCACAGAGAAAGAAGGTAGCGAGATGGGGAACAAACAGGTAGAAGTCATCCTTCCGTACTTAAACTGTTCGCAGCTGTAACGAAACTAACTTCATTAATGAGCTGAAACAGGCTTGAAAACAAGATTTGAAAAACCCAGAAGATCTAGGACAGGGATGGCAAACCTTTTAGAGACAATTGCCCTAAGCACAACCCAAAATTCATTTATGGAAAAGTGCCAACACTGAAATACTAAGGTCTTAAAAAAAAGAAAAAGAACTCCTACATTAACATCATTTGTCTTAAAAGTAGCGTGTGCCGTAGGTTTGCCACCACTGATCTAGAGGGAAGAGCCTTTGAAATAAAAAGTGGATGGATTAAATAGACACACTGAAAGGATAGCGAATTGGAAGTTCACCACTTACCTAGAATAAGAAAAAGAATAGAAAATAGGAAAGAAATTGAGATGGACAGAGGAGTAAGAATGTGTTTGACTTGGAGCTTGGGAAATGATAATAGGAGGAGGTAGCATTTAAAGAGAATGGCTGAGTTTTCAGTTTGACAAAAGGCTCTAAACCTCAGATTTGGGAAGCTGGAGTCGGGTGGTGGCACACGCTTTAGTCCAAGCTCCCTGTGAAGCTTAACACAGGAGGATCATTCAAGGTGGGCTTGTCTCAAAAAAAGGGCTGGGGATGTAGCTCAGCACTCCCTGAGTTCAGTCCTTGTTACTGACAGACCAAAAAATAAAAAAAAGAAGCCTAGTGGCTCCCAAGCAAAAGCAGCGCATGTAGGGGCATTAAGATAAGATGGGAAGAAGTAAAGTGTGGGGAGTTAGAAAATAATTATCTGCAGACAACAACCATGGTGGATAACTTTTCAGTGTTGACAATGAAAGAAAACAGTGTCTATTGTGTTAGGAAGAACTGCTCCCAAGGAAGCTTGCATTAGGGAAACTGGCTGTGAAGAGAAGGCACCCTTGTAATCCCGGCCCTCAGGGAGCTGAGGCGGGAGGGTTGTGAGTTTGAGGCCAGCCTGGAACATGGCAAGATCCTGTCTCAGAACTGCCTCCCTCCGAAATGGGGGGATTAAGAAAAACGTTCCCAGGAAGCAGTTTCCCTCAGAAGGGAGTCCTGGAGAGGAAGGCAAGTGATCTCACAGGGACAGTCAGAGGCAAGAAGGGGCATGGATCAAAAGCAGTGCACTTTGCATGTTCGCGCGCATGTGGATACAGAACCTGAGACGGAAATGCCATGTGAGTTCAAAGGGTGATCTGAGCACTGTGAGTATCAGTGTTTTATATTTAAAGCCAAAGAACTGATGTAGACTAGTGGAACTGGATAACTATTAACAAGCAGATACAGCCGGGCGTGGTGGTGCACGCCTGTAATCCCAGCACTGGGGAGACTGAGGCAGGAGGGTCATTGGGAGTTTGAGACCAGCCTGGGCTACAAAGTGAGCTCAAGGCCAACCTGAACTACGTAGCGAGAACCTGTCTCAAAGAAAAAAAAAAAAAAAAAAAAAAAAAAAAA